AGTCCTGTCAACAGCTTGCTGCTTGAGATTCACTTCGGCTCGACCCGGATCTCTTTTGCCGCTGGTGCTTCGAGCTGGTGACCCACCAAGCAAACCCGACCGGCTCCACGGGCCGCCCAGGTGATGCGCCGGCCAAGGCAGCGACTTATGGCCAGTTTTTACTGAAGGCCAGGGCCGAAGTAGATGCGAAGAACAAAGAAGGCCTGGGGCCCTTGAAGAATGCTTCCAATGGGGCATGCGGTGCGCGAACAGCTGGTATTGCGCACCTGACCCTGCTTTGTTTGAGATTATGTTGTGGCATGAACATTTTGATCAGGTGTGGTGCGGTTGCATCCATGCCCGAGTTCGATTGCGCTGTTACCAGAATCAACGAAGCAAAACATCATCTCATTCTGCCAGTCTAGGACTTGACTCTTCCAACACATGAGCCAGGGGCCTCGGAGGTTTTCGATGGTGGAGGAGGGCGGGCGCCGCACGGGTGGAGATGCAGAAGTGGAGCCTAGACGTCGCTAGGAGTCTCGATCTTCGGTGGTCAGGAAAGAGACCGTTGGACTATGCGAGGCGAGACAAGAGCATGTGCACTTTCTGTGTGTTTCGGTGAGTTCTTCGGCGGTTTTTTGTCAATACTTTTGGTTTGTTTCGTCATACTTCACCCAGTTCAGCGTCACCATGCAGCAAGTCAGTAAGTAGGAACTCGATGTGGGGCAGCTCAAAAATTTATTCCATGGGTATATAGTCTCACCGGTTGGAATACTGTATATTTTTTGGGAGTGATGTTGGTGGAACTATATTTGAGCTTTGAGCGTAGTGGGTTCCATTGCGCTGTTTCCAGAACTGATGAAGCAAAGCTTCAGCTCACGCTGCCTTTTCTGCCAGTCTAGGACTTGACTCTTCCAATGTGACATAACTGACATAACTGACATGGTGGCGATACTCTGCAAGAGAGGGCTTCTTGGGCAAGTCATCAAATTGCAAAAGTGAATCTTGAGCGGATCCTTATTTTTTTTTACCATAGATTCTTCATGTTTCTTCCCTTCCTTCCTGTGGAAGCTTGCGGATTGAATCATTGAACATCTTTAGCAAGCACATGAAACAGTTTTCTGGCAACCCTCAGAGTCCACCGAACTTCACACTGTGGGCACAATTTTTTTGGCATTTTTCCCGCCTTGAGCCGCTCCTTCGGCCTCGAATCGGCTCCGACTCCGCGGCTGGGGCACAGCCGCTGGGGCGCCGCCGCCCGCCACTGTCGAATCCGAGGCTGGACAGGGCTGCACAAAGCTACCGTGGAGGGCCACGCGAGCTGCGTTGAGGTGTTGATTGCCCGCGGCGCATCAGTTGAGGCGAAAACCGACGATGGCCAGGGGCTCGGGGGGTTTCCGATGGCGGGAGGAGGGCGGGCACCGTACGGGTGGAGACGCAGAAGTGGAGCCAAGAAGTCTCTAGGAGTCTCGACCTGCAGTGCTGAGGCGAGACACCGTTGGTTGTTGCAAAATTCTGGAGCAAGCAGGAAGTGGTGGAGTTGCTCGAAAGTGCCGTTCCTTGGCTGCGCAACTTTCAGAATCCTAGAGCACAGAAACCGGGTTTGTCGTCCTTTGGTGAGTACTGAGTGTACTGCAGAAAAACAACAGTTCGCAGGCTTCTTCAATTGCAATTTTATCATATTTTCTCTCAGGCTTTCCGTTTTTGACTACTCAATTGGTTGGTTTTGCAGCTGAGGGAGCTCAGCGGTGAGAATGCCGTTGGCATGTCAGAATGAGAGCTCGGCCAAGCATTGTTCCGGGTGTGGAGCGCAAAAGATTGTTCTTATGACTTCTTATGCGATGGCGAAAGCGGAACAAATTTCGCCAGCCAGAAGCACGTCAGCGTGCGAGCCAAGTAGGAAAGCAACTCCATCTAGGGACTTGAATCCGTGCTTCCCACCCGGTCTTGAACGCTTTCAAATTGGAGCTATGCCGGAAGGAAGAACACCCTTTGCGACTCTTTATCGCAGGGTCAAAACACTGGTGCAGTGGTTTCTAGTTGCAACACATTGCAACCCCCCTTCAAAGCAGCAAGCCATGAACCAACCAGGTGGGCGCCACCCATCCTGTGACCTTCTTAGCCGCACCGCTCAAGGGAGCGAAGCTGGATGAGAAGCGGCGAAAAGGGGAGGGAATCAAACACCGCCCAGCCGGGCCGGGCCGGGCTGGGCCCCCTTTTTTCCTTTTGGATATCCGCAAGTACTGGATGGGCCTGGGCGTGGATTCATCATCTCGAGAGGCAGCACCTGTCCAAGAGTCAAAGGTTTTCGCACCTGGTTTTGGGGCGAGCTGTGTCTTTTTTTCCGGAGATTTCTTTTGTGACTTGGTACCAATTTTCTTGGACGCTACAGCACATTGCTCTTGTTGAATCATTGCTTTTGACAATTGGTGTTTTGCTTTCATTTTGACAACTTTGTGACCAACATTTCGGCTCTTTGCATAATCAGGATAAAGTACACCATTGTTCAAGATGTAACTGAATGTAGCTGCTCTCCAACTCTCAGCGTGATGGGCTTTCAATCAGATTAGATTTGACAACAGCGCTACTTGTCTTGAGTTTGTCTCCAGAGTCCTCCCAACAGCAAATTGTTTCTTGGTGTTCTTTTTTGTTTTGAGCCCTCTCAGGTTTTGTGAGTCCTCTCAGAACTTTTCTTTTCAATTGACTTTGAGTGTTAGTTTCTGTCAGTTTCTCAGCCTTGTACGCCCGTTTGTGCGCACACTGCTCTGATGCGATGTTTCTGCTGCCGGCCCTGTTGGCGTTGACGGCCAATGCCGAAAAGCAGGCGGGGTGTCGAGCCGCAGGATGCTTTGCACTCCCCGAGGACAGTGTTTTCATGAGCCACCTTCTTGGGACGCTAATTCGAGCGCATGTAGCGCGTAGAGCGAGCAAGACAAGGCCCCCCCCACAGTGGCTTTCTTCATTGGGAAGGAGACTTGGACACATGTAGCTCGACATATAGGTTGGGGATGTAGATCGCAGGCGCAAACACCTCCGAAAAGCAAACTCAAGGTTTATCAGTTTAAAACTACAAGTCCTTTTGAGCTGTTCACAAAAGAATGTCGTTTTTTTGGCTGTTCACCTCCAAACACTTCCCCCGAATTCACCGCGACTTCAGCGCACCTGCAGTGAGACAGCTCTTCCTTCGGCACGGAGGGGCGTGGCCGCCGGCCACGGGGCACACGGCTGAGGCTCCCTTCAAGGTCACCGCCTCCGTGATCAGCGGCTGGCCGCGAACGCCCTCAGAGGCGGCGTTGGCGTGCAGCATGGGGCCGGAAGAGAGGGGCAATGAGGGGCAGGTGGTAGAGGTTACATGAGGTTACCAGGTATCACAGAAATAGGTGGGTGTCCATACCCTACACTAAAACCAATGTTGTTATGAGAAATGGTTTCTTTGGATGCGAGGCCGGGCCCTTCTATTTGGTCATGGCTCAACCCAGATACTAAATCCCATGCACAGGCTGTGGTCGTTCGACTCGACTCGATGTCCTTTTTTCCTTTTTTTGCTCATCCAAAGGACCTCCATTTTTGGGGGCCATCGACCACCCATCGACCATGTTTCGCCCTTCCGTGGGAAGGGCGATCCGATGGGTCTGATGGTTGCGATGGTCCGTGAGCTGCGACCGCCAGGCTCAGTCGCTGGAATGGCTCCGCGACGTAGATCCCGGTGAGGCGAGGCGACGCCGCACGACTCTTGGTGAAGACAGAGCTCCTGGAGTTGAGAGGGAGGAAGTTCTGGCTCTGTATACTGTCACCGTTGGGCATGTCAGGTATATGTTTCGACTTAGCACCTGTCATACATACATAAATTGATAAATTAGAAGAAGATTGCTTTTTTCCCCTCAATGGGTGCATTCTCCCCATTTGTCTTGATCCAATGACAGCTTTAGACTGCTTCAGCAGACACGCTGCTCCAGCGTGCACAAACTTCAGAGCACCAGCAGCCTTGAGACCAGCTGCTGCGAGCCTGACGACAGCATCGGGAGTCTTCCAGATTCCTCGTCCGGAGCCGGAGCTTGGAGAGCTCTCACGGGGAGTTCCTCAACCTTTTTGACTCTCTGCTAGTGATAGTGAGAGATGAGTTGAGATATTTGGGCCCACCAAGCATTGGATATGTGATGAGATGTGGCCCCGTCGGCCCCTTCAATAACACTGGACAAGAGTTGGGCGATGCGTTGGGGAGACCAGGCACTGCCAAAGACAGATTCACCGCGAAGAAGCCAGAAGCAACGCAGCACAAGTGATGCACCTTTTATGAATTGAACATACAAAACCACTGTAGTTTAGATCTTTCAACTTATCAGACTGACCCTTTCTTTGGGCCAATTGCTCCTACAGAAGTTCCATTGCTTGGCCGAGCTGTGCATTGTTTGCAGGCTGCGACCTGGCTAGGCGCGGGTTCACGGGAACATGTTGGTCAAAGATGTTGGTCTTGGGAGGTGGGATGGGCGGCTTTGAAACAGCAACGAGAGGTGGCATCAGAGGTCCACCCACTGGGAGCATGTGGGAGCATGTGTATTGGTTGGAGCATGGAGTCAAAGGGGATCATGAAAACTCGGAGTCAAAGTAGTCGAACCCGCGCCCCGGCACCCCGCGCTTGTCCTTTCTCAGTGTACAGCACCCGCCCATGCTGCGCAAATGGCTCAAGCCTCATGCCATGAGAGTAGATAGTCCAGTCAGTCGGAGAGATAGATTCATCATCTGCACCTGTCCACATGCTCTTCTCTTTCAGCCAAGAAGATTTCCACCAGCAATTCGAACAAAACTCGTCGGTTTGCATCAATAGCAGTCCAATGCTACAGCCCCGCCAGTTGTGCTTCGTTTGTGTGTTCTTCCGGGGTTCTTCCACCAGCAGCTCTTCCACCACACGCCCCCACCCCGTATCAGGTTTCGGGGCCCGGCGGCCACACCCACGTGGACCCGTCGAGACGAACTCGGCGTGGCGCTTCTGTCGGGGGGGACCCGTCGTACTGTATGGGACCATGGCGGTGAACGTGCAAGATGGCAGCACCGATGCGGGCGCGGATGCCAGCAGCGTGACCGCGAAGGCACCGGGCCGTGGCTGCTTGTGTGGCGGGGTGGGAGGGGTGGGGAGTCGCTTCGCTGTGGGTTGGGGATGGGAGGCTTGGAGGGAGGAGGAAGGTGTAGGTTGAGATACTGAGATAAAGGTGAATGTGATGACAGAGACGATGACCAGGTATATTGGAGTTTGGCAATTCAGTTGATCGAGCTTGCTGATCAACCCAAACAAAGAGACTCACAGTATCATTTGGCTTCTTTTCCTTTTGTACCATCAAAGCACCCCTACTTCCTGTTTCGAGCCCTAAGAACAACCGATTTGCCTTGGCACCACCCTTCACGTCGTCCCGGCTCCACACCGAACTCCGCTCATCGGTTCAGGTCTTCTCGTCTCATCACAGCTCGTGGTCGGTGCACAGCTCCGTCCCCTTCGAGCTCTTAGAAATTCCATCCACCAAGAACCACACAGCCACACCCGTGGGCAGCGAGGCGGGTGGCGGCGAATGGGGCGGGCAGCATGTCTTCTCCAAAAATGTTGGCGTGTTGGCGTGTTGCTTTGTATTGGTTCAATGCTTAGGTCTGCCGGTCTTCCCTTTGTGAACCACTGCCAGCCGTTGGCCGATCGACCCGTTGGCATCGCTGCAGGTGTTCGTCTTCGGCGGCTATGACGGCCAGAAGAATCACAACGAGTTGTACGTCTTCGATCTTCCCTCAATGGAGTGGAGGCAGCCCGAGGTCCTAGGCCGGACTAGCCCGAGGTTTTGAAACAAAATGAACAACGATGGCAGGAAGAAGGAGGTGACTGTCAGGAAGAAGGAAGATGTTTGTGTAAACTTCTTCAATGACCATGTAGTTTGCTCATATTCTGTAGGTGTTTTCTTTTTGTTGGTTTTCATACTCTTGGACTCCAAGACTTGGAGATTTTGCTTGTGACACCTTGAACTTATAGTCTGATCTTGATGTGCGCCTCACATGTTGCTTGCGGATGATATGCAGAACTGACAGGTACCAAGCCCAGTGGCCGAAATGGACATTCGGCCACCCTCTTGGGTGAGAGTATCCTGATCTTGGGCGGCTGGCTGGGGAATGGGCCGCTGGCCGCTGGCGACATGCACCTGCTGAATTTGCTCCTCGAAATCCACTGGGGGTGCGGCCATCACCGGACGGTCGTTTGCCGGGTCGCTGCGTTGGTGTTCCAACCGCCTCATTGGGGGTTGGGGGACCATTCGGGGGAGACCGGAGACCTTGTGGGGAAAGGGTATATGCAAGGTATGCGGATGTATATGCTATGCAGTCAAGCTTCCCGTCCCCAAGCGTCACCCAAACCCTTTTGGCTTCACTTACCTTCGAGTCATCAGTCCCCAAGCGTTTCTCGCTGCTTTTTGACGACCTACAGTGACCCAGTGACCTCCAAAATACATAGGTTGCGCAAGCAATACCCTGGCAAGCAGGACCCAGTGGGTTCATTGGACATTTTTTTTTGAGTTCGGTGGCGTTCTAGATGGCAAGTTCTACCTATCTAAATCCATTTCAATTGAACCTGCGTTAGCAGGAGCTGCGCGCCTATTTTCAGCTGCTAAAAGGGTCTTCGGTGGACAGTGTTCATGTCCAAGTGTTCTCAAGTGATCATGTTGATCATGTGCTGATGTCAAACCAAGAGTGCTTTTTACATAGGATGTCCCCATGATGCACTCCCCCTTGCAGCTTTGAAGCAATCCGCAAAGGCCTTTTCAGGCAAAAGCTCAAGACCCTTCAGAGGTCATATACATCACAGACCTCGTAGCTCTCGTCACTGTCAATGTCGGAGGCTGTACCACGAACATCGCGTGGTCCAAGTCTCAGCTGATCCCACTCTTGCTGAGACATGTTCAGCGGCGCAAGTGGCTCATCAGCTTCAGTCAGAGACTGCAGAGCATTCGTGGCCTCTTGACCTGGTCCTCCAGGTGGCCCTGCAGTGAACATCTGACTTCCCGCTGCACTGCGGCCACGCGCTACCGCTCCACCTCTAGCGTAGCCCTTGCCACTGCCTGAGCTCTGCTGACTCGCGTGGCTGCCGTCCTGAGCCAGCGTTGAGTCAGGGGTTGAGAAGTTAGTCATTGTTGTCGGCAAAGTCGACGAGATAGTACCACTGCCCGAGTCCTCACCAGGAGCAGCGGCTCCACCAGTCGCTGTTGCCACATAGCATGGTGTGCCATTGTCCGTGGCACCCAGCGTGGAAGCTCTGGAGCAGGCCATCGTTCGAGCTCTATGGCCTGTCTCATGAGGTCATTTCGATGATAGAGCCTGTTGCCTACCTACGCCCAGTACCGGTTCAGTGGCCGGTGGTAGGTCCCAATTCTTCTCAGACTCAGTCAGTGCCTCCAATGCTTGTCGGAGTCCTTCAGGAGCTCCAGCCCAGCGCTCTGCTGGTGGCGTCGGAGGTGGTGGTTTTTCGATGACCTTCGTGGTCGGGGCCCCAGCATCTGATGCCAATGCCGTTGATGCAGATGCTGTTGATCTCATGGGTGGTCTCATGCTCATTGTCTTCGGAGGCGCCGCCATCGAGCTCCCTGTCGCTGAGGTTCCATAGCCAGACGACGCAGCTCTTTCCATCCTCTGCGCCCTGACCTGAGCAGCTTCGGCCGTTCTCATGTCCTTGGGCATGTGGAGGTGTTGCGGCAATGTCTCCGTTCTCCGAGCCCACTCACCAATAAAACGCTCACCCACATAGTAGCTTGCCACTTCAGCATCTCTGGCAGGCTCTCTCAACTCAAAGAAGGTGTAGCCGCGTAGCCAATCCAGCGGCCCTCAACCTTGTTCTCAATGCCGTCCTCCCTTGTCGGAGGGTCCACCCATGCATCTTCTGAGGGTCGTCCAGGCTGCTCACCTGCAATGTATTTGATAGTCGCTCGACGACCAGTCAGCGCTTGTTCATCACGAAGTGGATAGAAACTGTGGATCGGATGGCACCGTTGGTACCTGTACTTGCAATGTACACGCACCACAAAGTTCCCCACAATCAGCCAACGATCGGACGATCCCACTGGCGGCGCATGATATGGTGGATGCCACCATGGTTCACTTGGTCGAGCCCGCGGACGCTCTGCTCGCAGCATCTTCACCATGGCACACGGTCGCTTGCTGCGCGATGCAGCCATCCGGGAGCCCGTTGGGCTAGGGTCAGGAGGGTGGTACCCAGCAGGAGGTTCATGTCGTGCCCTTCCTGATCTTTCACTGTGGGTTCATTGCGGGCCCTCACAGTGGCCTCCGTACCTTTTGGAGGTACGCCCCCCCGGGGAGAGTTCATCTTCCTTCTCCCATCTTTTTCCAATCTTTCTCAAGAGTGTCGTGCCAAGGATCATTAAGCATGCTGCAGCTACATCCAATGCTATCGTCAACTACACTGGGCGCACAAAGATCAGCGCCGCGACAATCACCGCCAATGCCACTTTCAGGATTTGGCCGTCATCTTCTCGATCACTTTCCGTGGCTTGCAGTGTTTTAACCATCTTGATCTTTGGTGATCTCAGGCCACCTGTGTGCAGGATGTCGCAAAGGCCGCTCCTTGAAGGACTTTCGTCAAGCCATCCGCAGGGAGCTCAGTTCCCTTCACATGATGCACTGTCCAGCCACTTGCCGGACATGCCGCCGCAGATCTTAGGCCAGCAGTGCGAAGGCGTAAATGACGCGTTCTCCAAGCACCAACATCGCCCATGCACAGACTCAAGGCACTGCGATTATCGCCATAGATGCGCCGTTGCGCTTCAGACCTGGTCACGAAGTCAACATAACAGCCACACCTTCTGCCTGTTGATGGCATTCCATGTAGCTCATGAGCTCTGCTTCTGCTGTTGACCCGGTGACAAACGGCTGGCTCGATGATGACCAAAGCACTGCGCACCCAGCCGCACTGATCGTGCCCTGCACGGACTTATACTGCTCTCCAATGGGTGCAAAAGATGCATCGGAGTAGGCTTCCACATGGCCTAGTCACTAGTCCTCTGGGACACTTGAGCCCTCCCATATCTTCAAATGAATTTGTACCGTTGTCTTCAGGTAGCCCAAGAAAGACAATCTTGGCTTGAAGTGTGACCTCTGCCAGCTTGCGGTGCATCTGGCGACTGAGGACACGTGTTGCGTGAGAGATGCCCGGCTGCGTGCGTTCTGAGGGCCACTGCAGTTCCCCAACCTTGTGAGCAGTCAAACGCTTCGGCGCCTACAGGAATGCTGTCGTAATGTCAGTTGTGCCCAGTGCCCATTCTCTTTGAGCTGCCATCGCAACCAACAGTCTAAGGGTCACCGAATCCAAGCCGCCTGTCGAGACAGTCGCCGACTCGTCTGGAGTGCCGAAGTTGCCGCAACTAACAATGCGAGCTTTTCTCTGAGCACATGGAGCCTTCCTCGAACAGATGAGTTTCCCAGGGATCACCTCCACCGCAGCACCACCAGCTATCAGTTCATTGACCTCCCAAAGGTGTTCTTCTCTTCAACGTTTTGGTGTTTTCCAAGGTCTCAACCTCGTTTCCGATGGGCTGTAACCACAGCTGCTTTTCAGCAAGGACCTGTTCCCAACCAGGTAGGTCTGCAGCACCTCCGTCTCTTGCACTGCAGCTTCTTGATTTTCGGCTGACAACGCCTTGACCACTATCTTCATTTCCTTCATATTGTTCTGTGCCTGGGTCTGCAACCATCGAACATCACGGTCCACACCACTATCACCTGCAACCCCCAGGGCGAGCTCATCCACAAGCACTTGTTGCGCCCCTCGAAGGACTTCTTGAAGCCAGTCCGACTTCCTTGATAGCGCATTGAGAGCATTTACCACTTGCGCTTGTGCTTCACACTTTGGATCACATTCTTCGCAAAACCCGCACATTCGCTTAACTGCAGCCCGTGCTTGACCAGTCCACTCCCCCCCAGTTGCTTCTACTGGTCGGTATAGCCGATGTGGCGGTTGCTTTCCAGTTACGCGAAAGTGATGCTGAACAAGGTCCCCGTCGGTGATCTCCACCAAGGCATGCTCTTCGATCTTGCCCTCAAACTCTTCAGCCTGATCCGCGCAATGATCTGCATCTTCTGCTTCAACATCTGATGCAGGTTGTGGGATGTCATCAAATACATCTTCGGCAGCTGCCTTCAGCTGTTCCATCCTATGTTCTCCACCAGGATCAAGCCTCTCCGATCTCGGCTTGTCTCACCCTCGATGTCCTCAGGCTCGAGCGCACCATCCATGCTCTGCTCGCCGTTGACCGCGCTTTCCGCGTCCAAGGTCTCCTCTTCTCCTACATCGAGGTCCTAGAGGTCAAACAGTCCATGGCCAGCTGGTTGGAGTTCTTCCGAAGATGCACCTCGGTCTGACTCATCCGGCACCATTGGCAGGTCCTCAGGTCGAGCATTTCGAAGGCGTGCTTCTTCTTGAAGTTCCTGCGACCAAAACGGGTTGATGTTGGCCATGGGGACCAACAACTCACAAAAGTGAGGTGGACTTGCTAAGGCCACAAGCCACCTGTGCAGCTTGGGCTCATAACCTGCGTTAGCAGGAGCTGCGCGCCTATTTTCAGCTGCTAAAAGGGTCTTCGGTGGACTGTGTTCATGTCCAAGTGTTCTCAAGTGATCATGTTGATCATGTGCTCATGTCAAAACAAGAGTGCTTTTTACACAGGATGTCCCCATGATGCAGAACCAATTCACCCCTTCAAAGAAATTGATGGGCTCTCTTTAGAACCAGACCCCCTGACCCTGTGACCGTCTCGTCTCCCACCAGGAACCCCTTGAAATGGCTGGCTCCGCGCTTCTCGGGCGAGCCGCCGGGGCCATGCAACATGCACACCGCGGACCTGGTGGGGAAGAACTTGTATGTCTTCCGCGGCGGAGATGGACGTGCGTATCTGAATGATCTGCATGGCTTGGACATGGAGACTTGGTGGCACACCAGCTTCAGTGAGGTGGGTGGATCGGATAGGTTGGACGGTTAGACGGTTAGATTAGCTTCTAGTTTTTTTAAAAAACGATGATGGAGGCTGAAGAAGAGGTGGTGGATCAGTCTGGTTGGATCAGCTTGAAGGTTAGATCAGTGATGATGGTGATGGAAAAACATGGCCCAAATCAGTGAGGGGACTTTTTCAGCTTTTTGATGATGCTGATGGAGAGGATGACATGAGAAGGTTTGTTCTTGCATTTCTTGCTTGCTAGCAAGTTCGGTTGAAGTGAAGTTTTAACTAAACGATGAAATGATGACACATGAAGCAACTGCCACTTGTGATCTTCACATCTCCTCACTTCGAGCGGCAGCGGGGCGGATGGAGCCCATTCTGTAGCCCTTCGGCTTCTTTCTCTCTCAGGACACCGACACGTGGTTTCCAGTCAAGACCACCGGAGAGCAGCCGCCTCCACGGGCGAATCACGCCTCGGCGGTGGATGATTACAAGCTCTACATCTTTGGGGGGCTGGGATGGCACCAAGAGGCCTCTTGGTGCTCACCATCTCACCAGCTCAAACAGGGAGGAGTTGGAGTGAGTAGGGGAGTGGAGTGCGTCAGTGAGAGTTTTTGGAGTCTTCCTTTGGGGAAACGGTTTGGGGGGGGAATTTGGGAGTCACAGGTTTGGAGTTTTGGTCTCTTTTGGGCTGAATCTTTGGGGTTTGTTCTCGGCTGTTAGGTTGGGATAAGTTGGTTAATGAGAGGTTCGGTGGGACTGGTTGAGCGGTAGGGCGGTTTGGGAGTGGGTCTTAGGCTAGTTCTTTTGGGTTTTGGGATCGAATTTTGGTGAGGTGTCTGGTTTTTTTTGAGTGCTTGGGTGGAGTGGAGTGGGTTGATATGGTGGTGCTCGACTTGGCTCGATGAGTTTCTTTCTTGAAGCTGGCTCTCTGTACATACTGAAACACTTGAAACTGCTTATGTGGTAGTTATTGAATCCAGAACTGTAAGAACTATTAGATCTATGAGAACCTCTGCAACTTGGTGAGATACTCGTGGCTTATGAGATGATGATCGATCCCGCGTTGATGAAGGTTAAATGACCTCTATGTGCTCGACACCCGCGACAATGTCTGGACCATGTTGAAGCCCAGTGGATACACCCCGCAAGCGCGGGCGGGCATGACATTGTCCATAATCCGTGATTGCTTGTAGCTTGGCCGAGGGGCCTGAAGGGACCCGAAGAAGAACGTGTGAATGTGTCAGTGAAAATTACTGTATGTGACGGTACTAAAGTTCGGATTGATTGAGTGCAATTGAAAGTTTCAGTCTAAGATTCTGAGATTTGTTATGGAAAGAACATGAGTGCAATTCACTCAACCTAAAGAAGGCCTCAGTCACAAAGGCTTTGAACCTTGGGGGGAGGAGCCAACTTTGACCATGGCTCGCGCATTGGAGTTCCCACCTTCCCCACAAAAGGACAAAAGGAGCCGGGCCTACTACCCATGGAGGAGAAGTATAGATCCAAGACCTTTTGCTGTCTATGGCTGTCATAAACAACCTTTTTTTGATCATTTTTTCGATTCGTTCCAAACAAGCAAGAAGATCAAGAAGATCCCTCTGACTCCTCTCGCGGCCTCCGTCCCGCCGTGGTGCCGTGGCATCCGGGGCACCGTTCGTGGCAGCGACGTCCCCGCCGCGGCGCCGCGGCCTGTCGAGGTATCTCTTTGGAGGCTCTGGGCATACGACCCGATGCTTCAACGACGTGCACGTCTACGATCCCAAGGAGCAGGTGGGGTCGGACCTGAGGGGTCGGAACTTAGTGCGGTCAGCGCGCGCTTTGCGAAAAGCGGCTTAGATGTTGGCCGGTGGCGGTGGCGGCTTCGCAAAGATGTCATGTTTGGTCATCTTGCGAAGATATAAATCATGGTTAGGGAAGACCTAACCCCAGCCACCACCTTCCCATCATGTTCACCTGCTCACTTGCAAAGCTGCAGCCACTTCTCTGGAGAGGCCACTCATGCCCCATTATATACTTCTTATAAACATCATCACCGTTGTGAGGCCACGATTCTTTTTTCCCCGCACGATCGTTTCGCCCACGATCGTTCAGCTTTCTTCTCCACATCGTCATCTTGGATTCTTCGCTGGCGCCACCTGATGGCACCACCACCTCCCAAAAACCAAACCCCCAAATAGATGGAAATTGTCAACCCAAACGAAAAAACATGTATTGGAAACGGCCCCCGTACTCTATATGGGACCATCCAAAGCTGCCGCCACCTCCCTAGGCCTGGTTCCTCTGTGCCCAAGCCGACCTCGGCGACGGGCGCGGCGTGGGTCCCGCCCGGCGGGCGGGGCACGTGGCGGTGGCCGTGGACCGGCGGCTCTTCGTGAGCGGCGGCGCCTGTGGGACGCAGTACTACGGCAAAGGCGCGGGGCGCGGTCGCCGTGGGGAGGCCGTGAGGAGGTCGTGGGGAGGTCGGAGCAAGGAAGACATGTGGCTGGCTGTTTCCGTGGATCTGAACAGAATGGGCCTGCTAGTGAGAAACTGTCTGAGAAGATAGGAGTGTTTCACTATGTAAAGCCAGTTAACAATGTTAAACAACATACGACATGCACAACATCAAGGAAAGGCAGAAGCTTCTTAGCTTCTTGTCACTTTGTTTGGTTGCTCTTTGAGGGAGCATTGGATCCTCTGAGGATGGTGCATGAACGAACAGGTGCTAAGCGCGTCAATGTGATTCTCCAAACTGTTCTGTTTCGTTGATATGCTTGGCACCTTCAGTGCATCTCCAACATGTAATTGCTCTCTTCTGTGGCCTCGGTAAAAGAATTGTAAACATCTAAGTCCGGCCATTGAATTCCAACAACCCCTGATAGCCGGCCTTGTTCGACGGAAAGGCAAGTGGTACATCCTGGACACGGACGCGCCGCCGCCCATCGAAGTCTCCGCAGCGCCGGCCTGTGCGGAGTCCGTGAGGAGGGTCATGAGCGAGTACTTGAACAAGGACCACCTGACAGCCGGTGCTGGCCGTGACCTGTTTGGGCGCGCGCGCGCGTTCGCGTCAGGGGGAGAGGCGGGGGGTCAGGTTGTTTCTTTTTAAAGTGGTCAAAGACTTGGAAAAGCTACGTCTTCGAGGTTTGGGACTGCTCGCTGCGTTTGGAAGCAGGGTGTGTGTTGTCTTCTTGTATCTTAGAGGAAGAGGAACAGGTCCCACAATGGTCCCAATGTTTCTGTGTTCTCAAAATCTTCCAGAAATCCTCCAGAAACCCGTCCTAAAGGACTCCCAACCCAGATCTTTCGTGATCTTTGGAAGGTTTTTGTTGCTTCTTGGTCAACCAGACCGAGCAGACCATCACCGGACACCAGACCGAGCACGGAGGAGCAGTTTTCAGACGTTTGCTTCGTGGTGGAGGGCAAGAGGCTCTACGGCCACCGAGTGCTGCTCACACTCTTCTCGGACTACTTCCGAAAGGCCAGGGGCTGGGTGGTTCTTGAGCTGGGTGGTGGGTTCTTGAGCTGAGTGGCCTCTGTATAAACGCATGTGTAGTATGGGACGACTCAAGTCTCAAGACAGTTTGGCTAAGGCAGCCAGGTTGTAATAGTTTCTATTACCTCAGTGGAATTGATCAACTTCTCATAAGCATTCCAACTACATAAGCATGGATGTCCAACTAGTGATTGCACAAATTGAATGAACATTTGTCTATGGTTGATGTGCATCCAAAACTCATGTTGGACCAGCCGCCAGCCCACGGCCACAGATTTTTTATTGCCTGTACACCATTGAATTACGAAGGGCCTGTGGCAGTGGGTGGTCTCCCAAGAGTTCTTTGGATTACAGTCGGTGCCAGTCGAACTGAACAACACCACAAACCTCGACCAAGGATAGATATTTGCACACATAGAACATACAACTTAGTAAAAAAAAACAGTACAAACAAAAGTAGCACACTTCGCGACACATATCACGGATGCAGCGTGTTGGTACTGTCACTGGCTGCCGGTGTACTAATCAGACGAAGGCAGTGACGAAGGCAAGCAGGAGAAGAAGGTGGCAAGAGCTTTGAACAAACAAGAAGAGCTGCAAGAAGAGGTCGAAGCAATCATTTAGGAGTCAAAGAAGCCCAAGAAGCTGCAACAAAGCAGGAGCAGGTGCGGGGCAGGCCGGCAGGCCTGAAATGAAGAAGCACTGGGCAGAGCACAGGCGAAGAATCTCTTTCTCGGGCAAACGCCTTGAATGCAAGTTGAAAGAAGCTCTTCGACAAAAGGAGAAAGATCGTTGACAATCTTGCTGAGATTGAAGTTTGGCCACTTCTGCTGGTTCAGTGAACCGTACGCAGGAGTGGGTAGGCAGAAACAAGCCTTGGCTTGCAGAGCCATGAACCGCTTGATGAGTGCTGTGGAAAAGTACTTTATTGTTTTGCTAGAGATCAAAAAACCACTGGCTGACCAAGATTCGTTGGGAATGTGATCGTGAGTGTATGTGGGTGATGTTACCTTGCTGGCTGTGTAGCCTGCATGTGGCGACATGGTTTCAGTCGCCTCAGCAAGATGTTTCACACAACCAGAGGACATGATCATAGATGAGGTAAAATAAGTCGGTTAGGTGAAATATGGACCCACAATTTATTCGTTCTTGGCCAAGAGTGTATCTTAAATGACCCTGTCACTGGCGCTTGGTCTCCATGAGGCGTTCGCCTGCGGCATGCGAGAAAGCTTTGAGCCGGACATCATCATCGAGGAGATGGGAGCAATCCACTGGGGGTTGATGGGCCGAGGTCAATGGATGTCTACAAGTTTGGATATCATGTTGGGAAGGGGAGTGAAGAGCCAGTGATTGTGTGGATTATGAGCCATCACATGAACATGGTGCTGTGAAGTCTTTGATATGTCTCGTGGTCGGATTATGCAGGGGACATGTTTGCAACATGGGTGATATGTGGTACAGCTTAACGGGTTGAAAAAAAGGTTGCACAATGAATATGATGTAGTAGTAATCTTGACATCAATGAACCCCGTGATTCGTCATGAACACCTACTCTAGAAACCGGCTGAGCCATCAAGACCCAAGATGTTCAGCTATGTTCAACCTGCACCGGTTTGACCCTTTGACTTAGAAACAATTAGAACATGCGGTGGAATCTTAGATGTAAGGACAACCAAGATTTCCCACCTCCGGGAATGGGATGTGGAAACACTCCCAACCACGACATTTCATTTGAAACATCCAGATTGGGTCCAAACCTTTTGGGCCACTTAGAGAGTAGGCGATGCACATCCAATTTGTTTCAAGTCTTTGAAAACAACTACGCCCACAGACAGCCACACAGCAGGGCGACATGACCTTTGGAGGATGTCTCTTACGAGATCTTTTACGCGCTCTTGGAGTTTTTGTACACCGGGAGGCTCCAGTTGTCGTGCTCCGGCAGTTATCATCGTCATACAGGAACAGTGCAAGTGCACCATAACTCTTTTACATCGTTTCATTGAAGACTAGCACCACTCTGGCTAGGTTGACAGCATTGGTGAATACAGTTGCCTCCTTCCAAATACTTTTTGTCACTTGTAGTTGAAGATCCCTCACCACCCTGACAGCAACAGCCCATCCTAGGTCGGGACAACAGGGTGACGCTTGCTTCCTGGTAGGGTTGCTGCGGGCGGCCGACCAGTTCTGCGCCGACTGCGTGAAGCAGCTGTGCGAGAAGAGCCTGAGCGCCTTGGTCGACCAGGACCAGCGAACGTGCGTGTGCCGCGCGTTCGAAGGGTGTGTGGACCATCCGTTTTTCGGTTCGGTTGTCCGGGTTCGTAGGTAGGAAGAAGTTGGTCCAGACCCCCGGATAATCAGGCCAACTGAGTGGATGTGTCCAGATGTTTCCATTTGCTCTACGGAGTTGGGAAGATCCACATGAACCCGGTCGAACATCTGCCCCCAATGCCCCACATGGAGACCGGGTCGCAGGAGAACGTGGAGGCCTTCCTGAGTGAGGCTGAACGCTTTCAGGCCCTTCAGCTGGCAACTTTGGCATAAATGTGGAGGCAAACGGGATGTAGTTGGCCTGCCAGGCGTAGACGGCCGCAGCATTTCGAGGACCTTTCTACCAATTCCGTGTGGAAAGACCTACAACTTTCTATGTGTTTGCAGGGTGTGACGCAAGGGCCACTGGGGAGAGCGTCGAAATGGTCAGAGTCATAAGCATTTTCTATGGTATTTCTCATGGTTTCGAGCAATTGTGCAGAACATGCATGGTATTCACAGTTCGATGTCACAACATTGTCATCGACATCACAACATTTGTCATCGATTAGTCGTGTGATTAAAGTTGGGTGGGGGTTGGGTGGGGGTTTAATGACGTTGCTTTGGATGTGCTTCTGGACGAAGTCTTGGAACAGATTAGCGGCTTGTTCTGAGAAGTCCTTGTACAGATTAGCGGTTCTGACGGCTGGTTTTAGACGGACAACCTTTGCAGAATAATTGTTCTTGACTTGTTGTGTCGGCGCATGCGACCAGTATCCAAGGCAGTTTTTCGAAACAACCAACCAACTGCGCAGAAAACCACCCTTAACCAGGTCATTTCAAACGCCTTCTTCAACACACCCAAAACAGGGTCCCGAAAACCACCCAGCCAAAGAACAGCCCGGCGGACCATGTAGTTTCGTATTCCAGGACTGAAGGAGTATGAAGGATTGAACATCCATCTGAATCTGAAGGACTGCTTTCAGTTGGAGACTCTTCAGATGGATTGCGTTTCAGTGGGCAACAAGAGTCTTCAGATGGATTTCGAGACCCCACTCACACAGCAGCCCTGCACAGCACACAAACAGAGAGAGGGGTGTGTGTTCGTGGTGAACTGAGGTGCAGTACTGCGAGTGGTTCAAGCGGCAACAGGATTGGCGCCAGACCCGACCCTCTCACAGCAAGCAGCGTCGACTTCCTTCGGTGCCCGAATCCGGGAAGTCCAGCCCGGGAGCGGAGGGCCCACCCACGCCGTTGAGTGAGGCACCAATGCAAGTAGAAGAGGAGTGGCAGGTCTTAAAGGGATACATGGCCGATAGCTGAGAAGCGTGGCCCAGACAGATGTAGAACATTCAGGACGTTCAGGAGATTCGGTTGAAACCTAGCCCAACAAATCATACCAAAGCAATGATTATATAGGTAGCTGCTAAGGCTCAGAAGGCTTCGTCTTTCGGTCTCCAGCAGTTTCGGCCTCCAAATCTCTGGACCTGAAGTTGCCCCCCGACCCCAAAAAGGGACGTTTGGGGCTGTAGTGCCGCGTCATGTGCAGCGTGACGTGGATGCCAAAACAGGGTGCCGTTCTCGGTCTTTGTGGGGTGGCGGAAGGTTGGGAGGATGGTTTCACTTGAGATGGAAGGGAAAGACGACGGAAGAAAAGAAAGATCATAGAATGCATCATTACTGAGATAGGTTTCGATCCGTGTTGTCTTTCCGCCTGATCTACAGGCTGGTTTTGATATGTTTAGATGTCCTTTCATGCGCTGGTTCACGAAGAGTGAATCCACAGTGTATCCATTTTTGGGGTGAACACCATGTTTATTCTGAGGGGACCATGACAATCATGCGGATGATTCTTTGCACTGATCCCTAGCTTTTCATGCTTTTTTTTCAGGAACTGCCGGAGACCTGGCATCAACGTCCATTTTCGCCATACGTTGCATGCGACTTTCGCATCACAACTTCACCGGACTTCCGATTTTCTCCGGGCTTTCAGCACCCGCCGGACTCCGCGGGCTCCGGGAGGCTCGGAGCGCACCGAGCCCATCGAGGCGGGGCGCGGCAAACGCGGGCTGGCGCGTCGGGCTGGCGCGTAGAGCGGGCACCGGAGATATCTGGTGCACGCCGAACCATTGATGTTGATTCGGACTGAATATATGATTTGTAAGATTTTGATCTTAATCATGATTTGAAAGAGTTTGACCGTTAAGACCGTAGGATTTTCTGTGATCTTTCATTGGAAAGGATATGAAAGGATCCTCCAGGTTGCTTTCCCAAGGCGGAGCAAAAGCCTACAGCAAATCCACTTTTGAAGGAGTGCAGCATGGATTTTTGCGAGGCGCTCCTGAAATCGAGCTCCGCACGCACCTACCATGAGCTGCTGGTACACAACTCCTACTGCTACGTGGATGAAAAAAGATGGGACATAGGCAGACCCTGAAACCATCATGGGCACGTGGATGGGAAAAGGTCCCTTTTGTTCGGATGACCATGAGTTTTCCGAATACCAAACATGGGGATTGTCCACTTCCATGATCATTCCAGGGAGTATAGGTGGATTCGACGGTCAGAGAACCTGAGAAAGGCAGGAGGTTTCCTCCCAAGAAGTGGTGGACCCTTGCTGCTGCTTTTTGCTGCTTTTTGCCGTGACATCGGTGAGTTTTCGAGGTCTCATTGCTTTTCCATGTCTGCTTGGTCTGCATCTTGAAAGGTCCCAAGTGTTCCCATCCAGGCGGAAAAAAGGATAGACAAAAGAGCTTCCGCGTGACATCTACGATGCACTTCTACGGAGGCATCTTCTGCTGCTTCGCCCCTTCCCTTCTGGTCCTTCTTCAGAAATCCCATTCTGCGCCACCTTCACCCACCCCTCCAACCGGGTTCGTTTCGCACAGCGGCTCCTGACCGCTGAGATTCTCCACGGATCGAAGCCCTACGGTCCTTGGAGAGGACAGACAGGTGGGCTGCGTGTGGCGCTGCGTCGCGGCAGAGCGGGACCTCGTGGAGACATGTGTTGAATGCCTTGAGGGGAGGGTGAAGCCGGAGGACTTGGGGAGGACTACTTATAGTATCGCAACTGCAATTGCTTGCATGCTTCATGAATCGTGTGACTTTTCTGGGACTCGTGGAAATGGATGTTCAATCTTCCTTGGAGAAAACCCAAACGGCTCTCACCAGCTCGCTTGCCAGGAAGCTCTACGGTAGTGGGGCCCAGTTCTTCTTGAGGTTGCGATTGCTGAGATAAAGATGGTCTTTGTGGTTGATTAAAGCTGGGCGGCATCCGATAAATGCGGAAGTTGCCAAAGCAAGATTCGCATCAGAATCTGTCGACTCACTTCCATGGCTTGGAGAAGAGGGCAGTACGTGGTGTTGAACGTGTTGATTTTTTCTGCTCCGGCGCTTGGATCAGGCAACCAAAACAAACATGGGTTTGTATGGCTCCACAATTTTATGTTTATGAAACGCCTTTGGGAGGGTCCTCTTCTACGTCCCCCATTTCTCTATGCCCACAACCACTCACCAGTATTCTCGTAGTATTGGCATTTCACTAGCTTGGGCGGCAGACACATCTATACTTTAAAGCAGCCTTCAAGCCAAACTCTCAAACCATGAAAGACTGAAGACTGTCCTCTAACCAGCCCAGCCAGTTCCAAAAACAACAATCTTCTAGGACCTAAGAAATCACTCCAACCAGCTCCACGCCGTTGATTTCTTGCCCTTCCTTTTGCAGCACATGCTCTGCAGCACAAGCTCTGCAGCACAAGCGGTGTGGGCAGACCTGACCTCGCTGAGGCTCTGCTTGTGCGGCAGGGTCTGCCTGGACGCTGTTTTGGCCAGGGAGACCTAGGCATGTGGTTGCGCGGTGAGGAGAAGCAGGAGGAGAAGCTCCTCGGGTGGGACGTTCAGGGCCGCCCAATGCAGGCGTTTTTTGGATCACACGCTTGGGACATCTGCAGGATGTTGGCCGTTTTTTTGAACGCTCCTTGTTAGAGTAGGAACCCTGAGTAGCTGGACCTCTGCACAAGCGCACATCTTAGAGGCAACCCACTGGCCAAATTCTCCAACTTCTTCGGGTAGATCTGGGTGACCTCTCAAACTAGATCAACACCCCTTGGTTGCGGGTCTCCCTACCGAAACTACACCCATCGTCACCCACCAAGATCCATCCAAGCGAACGATACCACCTGGTCATCTCCAACAACTGAGGGAGGTCGACTCCGGACTCCGGCCCGAGGCGGAACCAGTCTGCAGCGACGGCGGCCTGCAAGGCCCCGAAGCTGCCGGAGTTTCTTTGGAAAGAAGCAGGGGGGCTGAGCTAGCCTGAGCTAGCAGCTAGGCTGAGCTCGCCTGAGGGATGCGGGGAAGAAATGCATTCTATAGCGAAGGAACGGACCAGATTGTGAATGAGTACGGAGCAGAATGAACTTGGGTGAACAAAAGACGATACACTGTATGTAATTGCGACACAGCTTGAGGCTGATGGATCGAGGAATGCCAATTCTATTTAAGCATATTTAAGCCAAAAAGCTGCCGCTATCATACGGGTGGAATTTCCGATAGGTTTGGTAGACAGGAGATGACAACATCCAAAGCTGATCTTGTTTGGCTTATATATCGCTGCAGGTGCTTTAAGAGGACCGGAAGACCTATAGCTTAGCGTATCAAATCCACTTCGCGCATGGACAGCCGCCCCGCCCCGATCCTGGCAGCGAGCCAGGCCGATCAGCTTCGGAAGGAGCTCGCCAGCGAGTCCAAAGGCGTGGAGGGCGCCTGGTGAACCGCACCATGGGAAAGCGAGACGTGCGAGACCGTGGGGAGACGTGTTCGAGAACAGGGTCTGGTTGAAACGAAATGGACCCACTCCACTCTATAGTCTCTCCTCTCATGGACCCAGAGAGAGACAGGCTGCTTGAACTTGATCAACATGGACATGACTTGTCAGCCACGGACCTCAACGGACCTCAAAGGACCATTTTGAGAAAGCTCGATTTCTAACGACGTGGACCATGCGTTGTTTCTGAACACTTCACGGTGTTTGTGGAAACGTAATTCCATGCACTTCAAGCTTCGATTTCATGGATCTGATCATGTAGGCTACTGGCTCGACCAACGGCTTAAGAAAACACACATCCATCTGATACTGTCTCAACAAACAGATCCTTCTGGAGTGTCTTCTCTCTCTCTCTCTCTCGCTCTCTCTGAAGTGTGGACTGACACGCGGAGTGTTTGTCTCTGGCAGGCCCCAGCGATCTCTTTACCTCCAGCCGCCTGGGGCTTGAGCTGGAGTCGAAGGGGGGCCAGAAAAATCACTTAAGAAGAATGTCATAGGACATACTGTTGGGTCTTTATCTAGTCCGAGTTTACACATGTTTACAGTAACTCAGTAACTCTTCCCAGCCGAAGCATCTCCGTGCGCCAACCCGCTTTTCGCTCCAATTCTTCGCTCCACCAGCGGTTCGCCTCGGTCTTCGGTCTTCCGCCTCACACACTTCCTCAGGTCTCGATCTGACTCTTCGCGCTGGGCAGGCTGACGATGCCACCCGCCTGTTTCGATGTGCTTTGCACGGCCGAAGTGGACGCTTGATGTGGGAACCGAAGACCAAACTAGTGGACGCTTGAGGCTACTGGTAGCGACGTAACGGCAGCTCCTGGACTTGTCTCGTAACACTCCAAAACCTCCCGAAAGTAAAGTGCGAAGCAATGGACAGGTTGGGGATCAATGACAGCTTTGCTGTGCTAATGAAACCTGGCAAACACATGCAAACACCCACAATTTACTGGCACACTCCTCGGCGTTGATACAGGCTTTGGAGACCACCGTGGCACTTCCTCTTCGTTCTGGGTGTGTTTATGGGCCCTTCCCCAAAAAGAAGGGACGCCACTTCCCGAAAACAGAAGACGAATGAGCCCAACTCCCCTCAATCACCTCCATACCGAGCCCAGGAGCCATGAGAGGCACCTGAGGCACGCCGCTGTCGCCCCCGCTGCGCGCAGGCGTCGGGCGGGACGCTGGTGCTCTATGGCGCCTTGGACGACCCGGCCCTGCGGCCCTTGCTCGCTGAGGCGGGTGGAGCGGTGGTGAAGCCGAGGTGGTGGAGCGGCCTGGGGGGAGTGTTTCGGAGTTGAGTGAGGGGGTTTGGGGGGGGTTGAGAAGATGGAGAGGAAGGACCCTGGAAACATGGAGTGGTGATGGAGTGGAAAACTCTGTGGTAAAGCCGTGTAATAGAGCCAAGGTTCTTAGAGCGTTTTCAGGTCTCCAACTGGACAATGTGACCCCACTGCTTTCAGTCAAAGTAGGTCGAGCTCCGTCTTCGTAGGTCTCCGAGGCACTGGGACCCCGAGCGAGCTCGCGTCCGCTACAGCCACGTCCGCCGTCCGCTACATCCACAGCCGTTTGAGGATCGCATCGTTGGGAAGACAGCAAAACGCAGCAAAACGAAACGCAGCAAAACGACGAAAGACGATGTGTTGTGTAGTTCACTGAAACTGCTGCGGCGCGGCCGAAGGCCGGGGCAGGGAGAGGTTTAGACATCTGTCGGTTCCCTGCGTGAAACTTGCTGAATTTGAACGACAAGCAGCAAGTGGATGCCAATGGTCTTCTTGTGTTTTCTTCATTCTCCTTTTGAGAGGGGGGAGGGTTTCCGACCAAATCAAAACCCGTCCGTTGGATACAGTATCCTAGTTAGAGATGTGAATGAGATGTGTGTCCATGAGACAGTTTGTGTGTTGCAGGGTGCCATAGATCTAAACTCGCTCCAGGGACTGCATGGGACTGCTCCTCAGGTGCAGCTTGAGGCTGAAATGCCCTGACCCGCCCACTGACGCGGACCCCGTGCGCATAGTCGGCATTCGATGGGTGCTGTTTCCAAAGGAACACATAACTACAACCATACAGTGGTTCACATGCATCGTTTTGCTGTAGGGTCAGAGTTGGACATTTGTTCATCCATTTCAGCATCCTTTGGCTGATGGAGGCCAAGGATGATAGGTGGCAAACATGGCACGAGTTGAGTTCATTCGCAAGAAGTTTAAGCATTCCACCTGATGATTCACTCGATGCACTGAACGCGGCCATCCAGCCTGCTCAAGAAGCGTTTCACTTGAGGTGAACAGGTCGCCGGGAAGCTACCCTTGGCCACTTGGGTCAAGGGGTGCTTCCTGGTCCAACAGCAGGCTACCTTACCAGCCTTACCACGACACCAAAGTGCCAACCAAGTGCTCTCCGTACAGAGCACTTCTGGCGAAAGCATGGTTATGGCCCAGGGCTCAAGGGCCCCCGAAGCGAGGCAAAGAGCAAGAGGCCTCAGGGCATGCCCTTTGATTCGGGAGAAATTTAGACACCTACTGCACCCAATCCAAAATAAGTAGAAACCAAGTAGGCTATTCAGCATGACTCAGCATGACCATCAAAACCAACAACTTTTGGAGAGCCTATTCTGGGCTTTCAGAAGCTAACAGAAGCTTTCAGGATTGGGCCGTACCACCTGCCCACCTGCGCCCCATGTCCGTCGGCGAGCGACGGGCGGAGGCCCGGAAACGGCGCCAGGAGCAGTGCCGCGTGGTGCGCAGTAGAGATGCCAGAGAGCCCCGGTCGACCATGTAGCGACGTGGTAGGTCAACCAGTGGCGAATACTAAGGTGAACCGGTCGGTATCCTGGTGCCAGGGCCCACAGCCACATCAAAACCATGTAGGATCTTAGTCTGACTGTTGAATTCTTTCAAGACTTTTCTGCAGGACTTTGTCCAACAGTAGGGGTCTCTCCAAGGTTTTGTCTTGTTGAGAAATGAACTCACACACCTCCTAAGAAGAACCCATTTCACACCCCCTGAAATTTCATGTGATTCTATACCACGTATGTAATATATACGTATGGTATCGTTTGGTCCATACTTTTTGCAGAATCACAAGAGATTTCAGGGCTTTGACCATTTGTGGGGGCCATGGACGTGAACCGTTGCTATCCTCGGCAGCTGGAGCGTACCACCGTTCTGCCGCTGGAGACCGGAGCGAGGTCAGAAGAGCTGCGCGTGCGTGGTGATCTCCAGCTTGGTGGCCACCATCGTGATCCAGCCGCTCGGGGCGTTTTCAGTGTCAGAAGTGGACAGCAGGGTTCCAGCAGGGTTCCAGCAGATCACCTGGCTTCTTGGGCGGTTTGGGGTTTCTGGTCATACCCGATGTCCCGGCTTTTCGCGTGGTGAATGGGGTGTTCACCTTCGGCCAGTTCCTCGGCCCCGGTGAGAACGGGGGACCCGGACCAGGTGTTTGGCGAAGCCGGTGGAGGTCACGGTGCCCAACACCCCGGAGGTGCCAGCAGCACAGCCCTACCTGGCGGCATGCAGTGCGCATGTGACCTGGTAGGGAGGGTGAGTGGGTGGGTGTGGGTGGGAGGTGAACGGTGTTAGAGATGCTCCCTCCCTGTGAGCCTCAATGTAGTTCATATATGCAGCATGTGGGCAGTAGATGTATTAGTAATATTGATTAATCTTGTGGGTCGTGGTGGAGGACCAGGAGATGTTTGTTATACATTTTTTGTGGACACAGGTTCGGTTTTAACTTTGTTCGTCATTTTCGCCAAGCTAGCAGCTAGTGGTTTGGGGTACATTCTCGCTGCAAAGTGTTCAATCTTGGGCTGTCCTTTGGGAGATGATGTTCATGCTTCTTTTCCTGACGATGAGCGACAGATGTCGGAGATGAGATCTTATAGGCTCCCAGGTGTTTGTAGATCTGGTTTCTAGGTGTTTGTAGAGCAAGATGATCAAATTATGTAGCGTTCCAGAAATCACTTAGCTGAGAGGCTAAAAGGTGAACTGGTACTTTTTGTGATTCCTACTGGCCCAGTGGAGGAGACTCCTCACCCGGAGAGCTGAGTTTTGCGGCCGCTCGCGCGAGACACGTGCGTCAAGAAACCTAGTTGAGGCGAAGTGCGCGCAGCAGGGCCAGGATGATTGCTGCCCCTCCAGTGATGGAGTCTTAATGGGTTGCTGCAACCTGGTGGAGCTATGTGGAGCTGCTGGATGGGTCTGAACTTTGCCTTTCAAAGACCCTCCCAAGATCATTGTCTCAAGTGCCCTTGCTACTCCCATAGGTTGGAGGTTCCAGTTGATTGAAGCCTTGAGTGGAAGTGCTTATAGACTTGTAGCAAAAACGCCCTTTTTGGGGTGCCACAGAGTGAGTATGAGTGGAAGGAAGACTTGTGGTTTCGTGGATGAGATGGCCTCCTTTTTCGGATCGCCTTTTTTGGTGGTGAAGTCACTCCACGAAACCGTGAGATATTTCAGGGAGTGTATATAAACATGTGTCCATTGATGTCAACGGGATCTTGAACACTGTCTTTGTTGAGATCAACACGACACGAAAGTGGCGTCAGCCAAATTCAATGCGGCAGAGGGCAAAGTAAGATCGTCCAATTGGGAAAAAGGGGTTCGCAAACAACCTCACGAGCCTTTGGATGCCTTCCAGATGCTCAAACTGAACGACTTCAAGCTTCTGGATGCCCCCCCAAAAAGCCGTTTTCTCTTTTTTTTTCGGGCTCTTCCTTAGCTCGGCACTGCAGCAAAGCTTCCTTTGCCCCAGGCACCGCAAGCTGAAGCCCTCGGTCTGCTTCGGTCACCCACCCCTGACCGAGGTAGCCCCATCCCTTCAAGCGTCAAGGTGGACCCCTTCAGAGGCATGTGCCCTGGCGGTTCGGTTGGGCGGCACCGGGGATACGGTTCGGTTCTCAGCCTGGTGAGGAAGGATGAGAGGGTGACAGGGTGGCGGTGTGGATCGAGATCTTGGGTCATGGTCAGTCATGGTCTATCTGAGCATCGCCTTTTTGGCCGATTTTTGGGGTTGCTCACGTACCGATCTCTTTCCTTCTTACGTCACCGGCGGATCGCGTCGATGCCTACGCATCGATCCTCCAATCTCCGAAAAAGGATCCACCATGCAGCCGTATGCTCCAATGTATGCCCAGCCACCCAGGCGGGTCAAAGAACCCGCAAAAGCCCACCATATGCTGTGTGATCCCTATTCCCACCCAGGCAGGAAAGCGCAGGAAAGCGACCCCCACCACACCAGACCAGCTAGACCTGCGATCCACCCACCCCCCCACCGCTGTGCTACACCCAGGTGCTACGCTCCCACACCAGCGAAGAACGTGGCTCCCTGGGCCGAGGCGCTCTGGGGCAAGTCCGGGCGCGACGATCTGAGCGCCATCCGACAGATGCCGGGGCGCCCAGGGAGGCCGACAGGGACGGAAGAATCGGGGTTGACAGGAGGTACATGAGAGTCACGATCCGTCTCGATAGGTTTTCGAAGTATACCCTAGGCCCTAGGTAACTACCCACCTCAGAAAGTGTTGTTGACACTGACTCACCGTGTGTGGTTTTTGTTGTCTATTTCTATTTTTACTTGTTTAAAGCAATTTTTTTTGCATTCGCCCAAACTCATGACAACTCACAACCTGCCCTGGCCGCGCCTGGGGCCACCCACGTTGCCGCACGTTTAAGGGGCTTCAAAGTGCTGCGTGTCTATGGTAACGACCCACGGCTGAGCCACGAAGCCTTCTTGTCGCGCTGCACGGCCTTGGGCCTCAAGGTCATTGTGGCACCTTGGGCAGAAGATGCGGAGCCTACTGTAAGACTCTAAGAACATTGGACAAGAGCTATTTGTTGGTCAATGTGATTTCCACAAAATCATGGGGATTGGTCAACAGTTTCCACTATTGGGCTCAACTCAAACAGCACTCAATAGACGTTCTTGGTTTGATTCGCATTCAATGCCTATGAGCCTAGAGAAAGTTAAACATCTTCTGGTTGACTTCCTGGGGTACCATGGAGTGACCCGGATTGGTGAATACCTTCCAAATGGATTGCTCGGTCTATTTTTAGACGGGTTTGGATTCGCATTTCATAAGGAATGAGATGGCATGGCCCCTGAAGGTAGAGGAATGTTGGCTTTCTTCATTGGGTGGGGGGGGGACCATTTTATCATATTTCTTCTGATATAGGGACATGCCAGGTCAGGATGGAGCGGCCACAGCAGCATGCTGGAGGATGAACATATTATGTTTGGCTCCAAAAGTACCTGATGTTCCAGCGACCATCAAAAACAAGAGCTAAGGATGTTACTGTATTCAGTCAACATAGAATATTTGGACATAGACGGAACAGGATGGAACATAAGGAGAGAAAGTGATACGTGGACTTGAGCAACATTCAGCCAGTCAGCCCTCTCAGGCCATCTCTGACTTCCCCTACACCCAGGAGCGACGTCCTTGGGGGATGTTTTGGAGAGAACTTTTGCATGTTCCGAACATTTGGGCTCTTTTTGGGTGCGTTCTTTGGGTGCATCCATAGGGCCTGGATAAGCCTCAGGTCGGAGTTCCCTGAAACCACCTGTGAGGATCCCCAGAGCAAGTGCGCCACCGCGCCGCCCTACGACTGCTTCACTGAAGTGAGGATGGCAGCGGTGGGAGTGGTTGAGAGATGTTGAGAGGCTTGTGGAGCCCATGTGGACCCTGAAAAAGGAAGTTGGAAGGTACCGGGAGGTAGGCAGCATTTCTCTATATAAGCTAGTCACCTTTCTTCCGAGGAAGTCATCAAGTCAAGGGAGTCAAGGGAATGTTTTGCCTAAGTGAGTCATTCTTCAATGGGGGTGTTGGTTGCCCCAGTTTGGAGAAAGAAACAGTTTAAGCTGCTTAGGCTCTGACACTTCCTTGCGAGCTGGGGCAGCTCCTAAACTCGCTTTGCTTGACTTTGGACTATACAAACGGGTCCTATAAGCCTTGAATTCCAAAACAAGCTTAGCTTTACTCTTGAACGCACTCAGTAGAAAAGGTGCCTATAGGGATTCTCATGGGTTCCAGCTCCGAACCCCAGAGACAGACCAGCCCGGGCGCCGAACCGAAGCCCTGCGACGACCGCGGTGGCGGGCGACCGCGGTGGCCGGCGACCGGGCAGCAGGCTGCAGTTCACCACGATGCTGAAGAATGGCTTCACGGTGCGGGACGGCGAGGGGCAGATGCGGTATCACCCGGCCATCGAGGCACACAGATCACATCCCCGGCTCGGATGGCTCGGATGGCTCGCTTCAAAGACGTTGGCACCGTGCAAGGTGGAGTGTGAAATGCGAACATATGTGCATGCATGCATATGCCATATTAATGCGTATTTGGATATGCGCCTGATTCGAACACTTGGGTAAAATGAGCGATGAGAGACCAACCACCCTGGCGCAAAGGTTTCTCTCTTTGCCGCTCTGTCCCACCAAGTCGGCTCCCTGGAAGCCCTGGAGTCAGCCTGAGAGCCTAAGTCACCTGGCCCCCAGAGGCCATCATCTTGATCAACGAGCCTGAACTGAAGATCACCTACCAGGGTGCCATCGCCAAAGATGCCTGGAGCAAGGGGAGCCTTGGATTCTGAAGAATTGGTAGATGGATGTGGAAAAGCTCAACCATGTGAAAAGGGGTTCTGAAGCCTACAAACACATCTCACTTTTCCTTTGGGAACTGGAAACTACCAGTTTTGAACCGCCTTGAACTGATACTCATGCACTCTGACACAGTTGAAGGTTGAGAGATACGAGCACAGCTCTTTCTAAGTAGTTCAATATCGTGTCTTTTCTCCTTCATTCCGCCATACTCCCTCTCCCAAACCCAAACTTAAACCTCCACCGGCCAGTTCCACTGACGTCGCTCCTGTGGCCTCCAGGTACTACACCAAGGCCTTGCTAAGCGCTTTGGACGGCGCCCTGCGCGCCGAGGAGTCGCTGTCCATCATGGGCGCCAAGCCGCCCTTCACGGTGGCCGCTTGGGGTGGAAAGAAGCGGGAAGTGGTGGGGCGCGGTGGGATGTTTTCAAGATGGGGAGAACTTCGGCTTTGTGTGGGAAGAGTGTGCCGTGTATTTTTGTTGGGGGTAGCTGTGGCTTGGCGCTTCAAATGGGTTGAGAAAAGGGGGGGGAGCGGGGACCCAGGTGGAGAACACCGCACAGGGTTAGCACTGCACCCTAGAGTACGGAGGTGGAGGCCTCGATTTGTTGAGTGGAGCGTGTAGATCGTGTAGCGTGTCTGGTTGGGGCGGAACATGGCGGAAGAATTCATGTCTTGGGATCCTGGATCATCCTGAAATCGACAACACATCGGTCCCTGAGGGCCTCCCCGTTGGGGGTCAACCTGACCGACGTGCCGATCCTGCCCAGCCTGAGCGGGTCGGATCGAAGGTGGCATCGCTGGAGTTTGCTTCAGGTGAACTCCTTCTCAACCTGCGAGACCTGCAAGACCAACGTCGCAGGTCGGGGGGGGGCGACGAAGCTCGCCTCGGAGACCTTCGGACGTGCGCGTGACGCCGGGATTTCTGGAAGATGCCAAAGGTGGTCTGAGGGACACCATGAAGACTCTTCAATTTGAAGGGAGACTTTGGGGGTGAACACTGTGAACACCAACTGTTGGTGCTAGATTGATGGCGTAATTGGCCACCCAAAAACGGCCTTAAAGTGGACAGTGCCTTCCACGTGGAAGCTGGAAGAGAGAACTTACTCACTGCAGAGGCCACAGACAGTAGACATCTTTTTCCGTAAGATTCGGGGCGCCAAAGTGAACTGGGGCGCCAAGTATCATTCATGGAGTGGTGATCCGGAAGTCGTCCTCCAGCCGCGTGATTCGTGATTCGTGATTCGTGATTCGTGATTCATGATTCATGATTCGTGCTTCCCAATTGATTTTCCCTATCAAACAGCCTTTTCAAAGGCAGTTTTAACTAAAACCTCCAGCCGCGTGATTCGTGATTCGTTTCGCAATTCGTGCTTCCCAATTGAGTTTCCCTCTTAAGCAGCCTTTTCAAAGGCAGTTTTAACTAAAAATAGATGGTCTCAATTGATTGTCCCTTTGAAAAAAGCCTTTTCAAAGGCATTTTTAGTTAAAAATAACTTTTTCCAATTGATTTTACATTTGACAAAGCCTTTTCAAACGCATTTTTAATTGAACAAGATGGAACCCACGAACCCGAATGCAAACACGTTCCATATGGCCAAATGACACTCTTGACTCTTGACGGACACTCTTCTGGGACACTCTTGTGGGATACTCTTGTGGGACACTCTTGTAGGAAACTCTTGTGGGTCACTCTTTGAGGACACTCTTGTGGAGCACTCTTACAGGACACTCTTGTGGGACACTCCTGTAGGACACTCTTGTCTCTTGTAGGACACTCTTGTGGGTCACTCTTGTAGGAAGCTCTTGCAGGGCACTGTTTTGGGACACTCTGGCGGGACACTCTTGTAGGACACTCTTGTGGGACACTCTTGTAGGACACT